CCCCCCCGGCACAAACGCCCTGCGTCCGCCGCGTCGCCGTCGAAGAGCAGCGCAGATCCCGCTTCCGCCCCCGCCCCGGACCTCGCGTCTGGGCTGTCCCGCTCGCGCCTGTCGCCCCACCCAAATCGGGCGAAAAAAGCGCCTTCCCTCCCTCCTCTGCTTTCTCTCCGCAGTCGGGGAAGGGGCAGGGCAGCTCGTCGTACTCGGCGATGGGGGAAGGCGGGAGCCTCCCACGCGCAGGCAGCGCGGATGGCAGCCGCTGAGACGGGGAGGGCGGAAGGACCCCGCGGGGCGCACGAGGCTGATGGAGCTAGTGAGCGGCTGCTACGAGCAGGTTTTGTTCGGCTTCGCGGTGCGACCGGCGGAGGTAACGCGGGGGGCGATTCCGTAATGGAAGTGGGGTGGGGGGAAAGGGGAGCGGACGTTCCATTTCGAGGGTGAGCAACGGCCACTGGCTATGACGTAACTCTCCCGCGTTCCTCTCGCCCCGCCCCGCCCCCGCGGCAGCGCTAGCGCCTGTCTGCTCACTTACCTGGCAAGAAGGCGCCTGGCGCTGCGCTCGGTCGAGCGGCCATTTAAAGCCCAGGCAGCGCTGGCCCCTCCCACCCTCGCGTTTTCTGGGCCCGCTCAGTGATTTTACCGCAGGAGGTGTTTGTATAGGCCTTTGTTCCGCGTTATGTACGTTGCGTAGCTGACTGGTGTCTCACGCAGGGGGCGGCCCACGTGCAAAGCCATTGTCACTGGGGAATCGCGCCGTGCGTTTAGGGCGGCGGCCCGTGCAACTGGGTGACTGGGGAGTCGGGCGGCCACACGTGCGAGGGGGTTCTCACGCGGTTCTGGGGGACTGCGCAGCACGTTTGGAGCGGGCACGTGCACAAAGGAATTAGCGTGCCACAAAAAGGCCCGCCCGGCTATAAAATGGGCAAGTAGCTACAGTTAAGGCTTGGAAAGGTGTAGGTGAGCTAGAGCCGGACTCTGTGCAGCTGTCATTTGGATGTGTAGAAGGGCCCATAGAGCTACAGGGGTGCAGATCCAGGGTCTGCTGTCTGAGCTCAGTGACCCGCCTGTGTTCCCTACAGCCCCCCACTCCTCACCAAGATGCAGATGTGGCATCTCAGGCAGTTCTGATTGATCCAGGTTAAAATCTGGGACAAAAGGTCTAAAACCAGACAATTGGATTGTTGTTTTGATTTTTTATTTAAATTTTCTGTATTCCAAGCCAAATTGGCCAAAACAAATTCCAAATTCGTCAGTCAGTCCAGAACCACAAGTGGCCCTGCTACTGGCAAATATCCTCCACCTGCATCTAGAGCTTCAAATGTTTCCAAAACTTTTGGCGGGCATCCTGCTTGCAGGCCCAAGCCCGGAGGCTTGGGGTTCGGATGCCCCTGAGTTTCACTTGCCCTCAGCCATAAGGCCCCAGGAAGAAGCTAGGGAGGAGTCTCCCCTTTCCATAAAGTTGATGTAAGGCCAAGAGCTTCCCACTCCAACAGCTAAGTGGGAGGTTTACTATACATTACCTTGGCGCAGACAGTACTATCCCATGGCCAGGAGAGCAGTTTTCCGTGGGTGTGACTAGGAAGACCACCTTAGTAGTCACCGTGTTTCCCTTGCCAAGCAAGCATAGGACTATGCTTGATCTGAGCCCACGCCACCAGTTTAATCCAGGGCCGTTTGTCCTAGGTTTTGATTAAACAAGCCAGGATAACTGCTTATACCAGGGGTGCTCAACTTCCATCCTGCAGGCCAGATCTAGTTTGCAGCACTGTGTCATTCCACCCATGGGGCTCTCCACCAGTCTGGAAATTTGGTGGCATCACCACTCCCCTACTGCCAAATCTTCAGACCCAAGGGAAGTCCCAGGCCCCGTGTACCTTATCCCAGTCCCAGAGCACAAGGCCAGACAGGGGCAGCACCGGGTTCCCAGGACCCAATCCCAGCACTTGGAGGTGGGATTACACAGTTCCAGGACCCAAGGACACAATCCTAGTGGGAGGGGGCAGTACAGGGCACTTGTGTCCAATCTGTCCCACAGACTAGCCCCATGCCACTCATCTGGCCTCGGGCCAAAAAGTTGAACACCACACAGGCAGCTTTAATGAAAATTACCCTGAATTAGCTTTAATTCTACCCCCTTCTACCTTCCATTCAGGTATTTCACATGTACTTGAAGTGGGACAAGGAGCTTGTAGGGTTCCAGGGTAGAAGACTTTGTCCTGGGATAAACTGATCATCTGTTTCTAGCCAAGAGCCACACAGCCCTTTACATTATAGCTTGTTCTTGGAATGCATGCCAATGTGTTCAGGGGTATAGGTTGTAGCTGTGTTGATCTAAGGCCATAGGCAGACAGGGTTCTTTGGGTAAATCCAATATCTTTTATTAGACCAACTCAGATCTCTCTCATACTCCACAAGTACAAAAAGTGGGGCAATGGGGTTGTAACCAAGTAAGAGAAATGTGTTAGCCCTACATCTCTCTTTCCCACCCACCAGTGGAGGGGCAGAGAGACCCAAGCTGCGAACATGGGTCATACCAGGTCCCCAGAGAATTGTCTGGATTCTGCAGCAAGTGTGGGCCATACATGACCAGATTTATTATTGTAGATTTATATTGCGCCTTATCCAAAAGGCTGGGTGGGAAAGATGGGACAAAGTTTGGGTTTCCATAACAGTACATATTTGACTGACTTTTCCAAAGGCCCTACATGCACTTTTCAGGATAATATCAACCTATCTCTGTCATCATGCATGGGAAATTCTGGGAACTAACAACCTTGTTAGGCTCAACTCACCCCTCAAAAAAATGCCCACTCTTAGCTTTCACTCACTTCCTGACCACAGAAAGATAGTAGAGCCATTCTTCTGTTGTAAAGAGCTCAGAGCACAACAGGTCTGGATGGTTTTCACACTATGGATTCTGTTTAGAAATATCTGAGTTTATGTTGTGAATCACATGTATGTGTTTGCACACCTAACAATGCTAATATGCGGCACCCTTAAAAGGTTCTTGCAGCACCTCACAGTGTTGTGGCGCTCTAGTTGAGAGTCACTGGTCTAACCACTAGCATTACACTTTTTGCAACCTGTGATACTGTAAGTAGTAGGAAACCTAGAGTGTCACTTTAGTCACATAACTATTTTGTATAATTGGCAAAACATTCATAATTATTTTGTTCTACTGTAAATGTGAGTCTTCAGATATGGTGCTGTTACCAATGGGTTAACCGCAGACAGCTAGAGTACATCACTTTGTGTGTGCTACAGAAAACAAGTTTGTTTATTTTGTATTTAATTTTCAGAACTGGACAGCTGTTCCTGACTTTACCCATCATGCCCACACTGCTTCATTATCAGCGGTTGCTGTGAATAACAGATATGTAGTTACTGGTAGTAGGGATGAGACAATCCAAATCTATGACATGAAAAAGAAGATAGAGTATGGGGCATTGCTACAACATAATGGTAAGGAAATTTATCTTACAGGTATTAATGACAGAAAGTCCTCATCACCAGTAAGGCATGTACCAAAGCACTGTTGATTTTAATAGGTTTTTACTAGAGAAAAATGCGAATGAAGCCAAAGTGTGCGTAGATAAGTAAATGAGACTTACCTGAGAGAATGAGGGTTCAGATGGAATTCAGAAGGAAATGCTACTCCTTTGCTTCGGAGGAAAACGATAGAAAGACAACAGTTAATTTAATATTGTGATAAAACTAACTTACAGAAAGAAAAATGTAATAAATCAACTGGCATTATTCTAATGAGTAGAACAAATGGCTGGCTGGCCTGTTTGGATGCTAGGAGTAGGCTGTTCTTCACAGCTATTTATGTATTATTGTATGCTTTATGTCCTTCATTATTCTTGCCAACACTGAGTGCTGTGTACTTGCAATCTTATATCTGCTAGGTACAATCAACAAAAATTGTATGAAGACATATATACATTACTGGTGTCATCCAAAAATTAAGTCAATCTCAAGTCGTTCTCTTCTTGCACTTCAAAATATAATATGTATGTGGTGCTCTTAGATGTTTTGAAGTTTATAATTGAAATACTGAGGGTTATAAAGCTAACATTTTCAGTCTGTACCTGGCTGTTCAAAGTGTACAGTTGTTAACAGTGCTAATCTTGATCTGCAGGCACAGTGACTTGTCTGGAGTTCTATGGTAATGCTCACTTACTGAGTGGAGCTGAAGATGGACTAATTTATATTTGGAACACAAAGAAATGGGAATGTCTTAAATCCATTAAAGCACATAAGTGAGTGTTTTGAATTTGCTTATTTGCATTAATTTTATACATATACACAGAAAACATGGCTAATTTCTTGTTGTTGTATTGACTTTCATTAGGGGGCATGTGACATCCCTGTCTATTCATCCTTCTGGGAAATTAGCTTTGTCAGTAGGAACAGACAAAACATTAAGGTAAGTCAGAACTATTTGACCATGTTAGTTCAGTTTACATCAAAGGTGTAAAACTTATCCAGATTTGTGGGCTGGACAAAAGGCACAGGGCCAGTCTCTGGGCTGGATCAAGCCTTCAGACCAGCCACATGTGCCAGACGTAACCCACACCTCTGATCCAGTGGCACACTGGATCTGACACAGGACCAGTCTGTGGCCCTGATCCAGTCAGGCCCTGGATCCAGCATGCAGGGCTGGTCCAGCCTTGTGTCATGTACAGCTCTAACAGACAGGTTCTGTGTGCTGTATGCTACACACAGGACTGGTTCTAGCACATGCGACATTGCGGCAGGCATCGCTGTGGGCTGGATGATATGGGTTTGTGGGTCAGATCTGACTGTCAGGCCATATCCTTAACACCCCTGGTTTATGTCTTGTGCTATAAGCAAAAACTGTATACTGTGTTTTAAATAAGTACATTTACATAAGTCACATTCTTAGTCTAAGCAAGTGCGTAGGCATCAACTTGAAGAGGAAATCATTGGCAAAAAGTAGCTTATAAAATAAGTGATGCAAATTTAACTGTAGAAACAATAATGTCTAGTGATTAAATCTTCTTGATCATATGATACAGTATAATGCAGTCCACTCAAAAAGCTCCTCTTCAGTGCCAAGAGTTGGTAAACAAGGTTCCTTGGGTGAATTTGATATCTTTTATTAGACCAACCCAAATAGTTGGAGAATAGTTATAAGCAAGCTTTCGAGTTCAAAAACCCTTCGTCAGGCTAAGGAAGTTTCAGCAGTTGGTGTGTGCTCTTCCTGGATGGAATGTAAAGTAAAGAAGCCAGGGGCTGGGCTGGGCTGGGCTAGGGAGTCAATTGCCAGGCAGATTGTAATGTATAAAAATCCAATGTCTGTGTTTAGTCCAAGATCTCTAGTATCCAGGAGGCTGATGAAATGGAGCTCATAGGCTCGTCTCTGGGAAGTGTTGTGTAAGTTTCCCTTGAGGATCAGGACTGAGAGATTAGAGAGAGAGTGGCCCTCCTGTGAGAAATGTGCCCCGGGATGCTGATGGCTCTGTTGTGGGGTGTAGTAATTGTGGGGGTGGTTGTGTTGGCAGGTTTCGCATTTCTTGTCATGGCACGGTCTGGATCCTTTCAGTGTGTTCTGGGCTTGAGGAAGTTTGCTTCTAGCAATGAGGTTGGCGAGGTTCGGTGCTTGTTTGAAGGCTAGGATGGGTGGCTCTGGGAAGATCTTTTTAAGAATAGGGTCTCTTTCTAGTATGGGTTGCAATTTTTTGAGGATTTTCTGTACAGGTTCAAGGGAGGGGTATATGTCATCACCAGCGGTGTGCGATTTGTGGGGGGGTTTCTTCTGTACTGCAGCAGTTTTTCACATGGTATCTGGGTGGCTCTTTCAAACGTGCGATCTATCTCTCTGGACGAGTGTCCTTGTTGGGTGAAGGCCTTTTTAAGATTGGTGAGGTGGCAATCCCGGGTGTTCTCTTCAGTGCAGATGCGGTGGTATCTGAGGGCTTGGCTGTATATCACAGCTTTTTTGGTGTGTTTAGGGTGATTGCTGGTTCTGTGCAGATATGTATGTTGGTCTGTGGGTTTCTTGTATACTGTGGTCTGTATTTTACCCTTCTGGATACTGATCATTGTGTCTAAAAAGGAGATGTTGGTGGAGTATTCTAGAGAAAGTTGGATGGAGGGATGGTGATTGTTGAATTTCTGATGGAACTCAATCAGAGATTGCAGGTTTTCAGTCCAAATGATGATGTCATCGATGTATCTTAAGTATAGCAAGGGTTTGATGGTGCAGTTCTTGAGGAAGTCTTTAATTTATCTTAGCTATTTTTAAGTTTCATTGTTCCAATTGTTTGTGTTGTTTCACAGAACATGGAATCTTGTAGAAGGACGATCTGCCTTCATTAAAAACCTGAAGCAAAGTAAGTATCAATATGGATTTACATTCTAGTAGAATTAGAGTATTAGCAAATGATATATATTGGGTAACCTGTGACTTAGGAATGACTGATCTTTAAATTATTCACTCTGACTCAACTAATTCACTCTGTTCCATTTTTAATAAAGATTTGTAACTGTATCTGCAATATTGAAATTCTGCTGTTAGCAGGCTGTAATGATGCTAAAATAGAAATCTCATCTACTGCTAGAAAGGTTCCTTGCCAGGCAATTTTAATTTAATAATTTAACTATTGTAACACTTCAGATTACCCAAACAGAATTTTTTTTTTAGGAAAGCAATTTGATTTTTACCATTCATTCTATTTTATATTTTATTACTTGTTTTGAGCTTTTCTTTCAGTTTGTATATACAACAACTTGTTAGCTTATTTTCAAAGGATTTTCATTTCAGGTATTGCGAACCACATGCATTGCAAACATTGTAGAAGTATATTTGCTTATTTACAAATATAATTTACTAGAAATGTTGTTAATTTTGTACTTTTTTTTTAACAGAACCTAAATACTTAGACCTGGCCGTCTCCCTTTTAAAAATCTATTTGATTACTACTGGAATAAATCCAATTTGATATCAGAGTCTGATATGCTTTCTTCTTCCAGCTAGGCATATAGGTTTCAGTCCTGTAAAGGCTTAATAATATGCTTATACTTACTACCAAATATACCATTGAAATCCAAAGTACTTCTACTGATAGTAAAATCAAGCACTTGCATAGGTGTTTGCAGGACCGAGTCATATGAAGAATGTGTTAAAGAGTATGGTGAGGATGTTTAACATGAGATTGTGTCGAGACTGGTTATTAATACTATTGAAGTTTTTTTTTTTTTACTCGTAATTATTTAGATGCACACATAATCAAATGGTCCCCCAGCGGAGAGAAGTATGTGGTAGTGATATCTAATAAAATGGATATCTACAAACTCGACACTGCATCTATCATTGGCACCATCTCAACTGAAAAGCGAATTTCCTCAGTTAGATTTATAACCGTAAGTACAAAAAGGGAGGTGTTGGGAAGCTAACTTGTTTAAACATTTCTTCAATGTTTTTAAGTGAATGTATTTCTTCCTACCCTTTTTAAGGATTCTGTTCTCGCTATTGCTGGAGATGATGAAGTTGTAAGGTTGTACAACTGTGAATCCCAAAAGTGCCTTTGTGAATTTAAAGCTCATGAAAACAGGTATTTGTCCTCTTATATTGCTTTAAAAGTCATGGCACTATTTATGCTAGCCCGTTTAATAGCAATGTTCTGCACATCAGCTGTAGAAGTTTATTTTTAAAATAGAAAGAAAAGAGTTTTGTATGGTTTCAGTGTACCGAGTTGCAAATTCAATGTGCATACTTCTGTATTCTCACTATGAATATGGATACACACACACTTTCATATGAATTGCAGAGACATAGTTATGTGCAATTCATTTTAATTGAATGATTAATTACAGGCTGTGGGGAAATTCTTTTCCCCACAACCTGTAATTAACTTGTGGAACTTATTGCCACAGGATGTTATAGAGGCTGATAATCTTAACCAAGTTCAGAAGAGGATTTGGGCAAATTCATGGAGGACAGGTTCATTAGTAAGTGCTAAACATGATAATAAAGAGTGCAGCTAGGCCTCTGAATGCTGGAAGCTGAAGCTACAGTGGAGGCGGTACAAGGGACTAGTACCTAACTTTAGCAGTGGGTGAGGGGACATGAGTCCAGGATGCTGTCTAAGCAGGGGTGCTGGAACAGAAGCAGGGAAGTGTGTGTGTGTACATATGTACACATGCCTGCAGTCAGGGGGATTAACCCTGCTGCTGAACTAGGTGTTTTGTATTGTTGTTTGGAGTGGTTGCCAGTAATGCTCTGGATCCCTCCTGCCTGCACCCCAGGGATGCTGGGCCACTTCCTATCACTCACTGTTAACCAGGCAGATCCTGGAACCACATTGCCAGACATGCCTCTGCTGCCCACAGTGCAGAAAATACTGGTTACGCCTCTTCAGGGGACAGATCAGCCTGGCTAGATCCCGTATGTATCCTGTACTCTTACTCTTAGCATCTATGCCATGCAACTGTGAAATATAGGAGGTTAGTGGACTAGCTGAAACTGTGGCCTGACCTAGTATGGCATTTCTTGTGCTCTTGAGAATTTGAATTAATCTATTCATCTACCTCTTGTAATGAAGGAAGCTCAACCCTTTCCTGATAAAACCTTATAGAGAGGGAGGGAAGCAAAGAGAAAAAGTGCTAGGGAATCATTTAATTTTTTTTATTCCTATACAGTTTTTTTACCCATACAATTACATGCCAGTGTTTATGCACAGAAGCATCAGCTTGCACCTGTTTTCTAAACAGTGCTACATTTCTCAGGATTTTTATCCAGAGTTACAACAGATTACATCTTCTTTAATTTTTCCTTTGGAGTACATGTCGAATAGTTTTTACTAGTGATAAAAAATGGAGGTTCTGTGGTCAGTGAACCCCTGGCACTGGGCCTCAGATTGGGTCTAGTTAAGGACTGCATTTTTTAATTCTTTCATCTGGCATATTAGTCTTAGTCTAGGCTGTGGATCTGATGCTGCTTTAACTATGGTCTCTGTGTTATAATGACTGAGTCGCTTAGAGCTGTTGATTGCTTAGCCAGAAGCTGAAGCTTTAAATGCTTGCTGAAGACTCGAGTCCATGGGCAGATCTAGGATTTTGAAAAAAACTGGTGTTGTACAAGGCTGTGAAATAGGAGAAGAAAGACCAGAAGTAGTTAACAAGCAAAACTGCAGAAGAAAGGATACCTTGATTAGTAGAACATCAAGACTGTTAGAGGAAGAGAGGGTCCTTAACACCTGGGGAGTGAAGAGAGATTAGCAGGAATTGGGTAAATTCTAACGACTCCTTCAGTGCTATCTGAATAGAAATCTCCCTCCAGGTGCCAGGCAATTGGTTTTCAACTTTGGATGGAGCAGGAATAAAAAAGAACAATTGAACCTCCATTGCCCCCCCTAATTTGCCTCTGCTGGACTTTGCCTCTCCCTCCATGTAGCCTCTTGAGGGAAGAGAAGGAAAAGAAGCAGCAGCTATCTTACAATATCTTTATTCTTCTCTTCTGTGTAGAAAATCAGTTTTCCATGTAAGGACACACGCCCTCGTTTTTGGCAGGCTGATTTTTGGGGGGAATGGTACATGTAGTATGTCAGCAAGGCCCCTGGTAGGCGTGCAAGTGAAGACACAATGGGATGCAATGCAGAATCCCCACAGTTATTCTTCCTGTCATATCACAAGTGCATGGGCTGGTGTGATTGTGGGACCTAGCATTAGATCCCAGCACACCTTACTGCTGGTGTTTCCTGGGCTCCCGGCACTGGCAAATAGCAAGCTCCCACAGCTGAGAACCTTGTCAGCTGATGGGGCTCCTAGTCGCAGGATTGCATTAGGTGTCCCCATGGCTGGGAGCCCCATCACCTAGGAGACCTGATCATCTGATGAAGCTCCCATTCACAGGGGCACACCTTGTGGCCAGGAGCCCCAGCCGGACTATACGTTCAATTAATAGCATCATAGTAACCAGCCACAAAATTATCACATTTTTTTGTATAATAATTTTGTGGTTTATGCCATGTTTTATCACACCATTAATTGTATTAATGCAGGGGTGGGGAATTATTTAGGCTGGAGGGCCACTTAAGTTTTGGAGAGCTGTTGAAGGCTGCAAGGGTGGCCCCGCCCCTTGACAAGTGCCCCAGCCCCTGGTCACCATTTTAGGACTGAAAGTCCCGCCCCCTAACCCCTGACCTTTGCCACCAGAAGTTCCTCCCCTTGCCCCCAGAAGTACTCTTTTTGAGAAGGGGGTTTGCTATCTTGGAACTGGAAAAAAAATTATATACTAAAACTCAAAATTGACAATAACATATTTTAATTTTATTTAAAAAACCATTTTGTCCTGATTTGTGTGCATTTGTGTTGTGTATATAGAGGTGATTGCATAATAACTCAAAATGAAGTCTTACTCTTGTATATTGTGGGGGGTGTTTGGGGTATGGATGAATATGTATGGGGTTTCTGAGGGACTGTTGTGGGGGGGTGTATGTGGGATGTAGGGGAGGGTGTGGGAGTATGTGTGGATGTGGGTATGGGGGGTTTGTGGGAGGGTGTGGGTGTGTGAAGGGGGAGGGTGGCTGGGGTTATTTGTGTGTGTGTGTGTGGTGGGGTGTGTGCATGTAGTAGCGAGCGGGGCTCCCCGCAGAAGCGTGGAAGTGTGTGTGTCTGGGAGGGGGGTGGGGGGGCGTTGAGGGGG